GCAAGGCGGGTCCGGGTCAACGGCAAAAACCCGGTCTAGTCGTACGACGAACGTCAAGCCGGTCTGTCGGCGTCGCGACGCTTCGCAGCCACGCGAACGCATCCGTTTCCCCCTCTATCCAGCGAGCTTTGGAAAACGAAGCAACAGGACGAGTCTCCATTAAACTCACCCTCTTCGAACATTCGCCGAAGAAACTCAACCAATCGCGTTAACCAGTGTCAACATTCGAAAGTGAAACATTCAACCGTCGCTCTGTAACTAGTCGCGTGATCTATGACTGTACTCGTTTGAAAATCGGTGCGCGCGATTCGAAACCGTTACGTGTCGAAGTGGATCAGTGAGAGTTGCACGGAGAGGGTGGAAAGCGTTGTGTCGCGAGCTGGAAGTGATGTCGGTAAACAGAGGTAAATAAGTGCTCGTAGACACCGTATATTCGTTTCGTTGGTGGAATATCAGTGCGGACGCGCGGAATTCGATGGCAGTTTCGTACTCGAACCGAAGAAAGACGTGAGACGGACCGAGGTCGACGCACCTGTTTTGTTTTCCTTCTTCCGTTGGTAGCAGTAGACCAGTTACTAGTGTCGTCGTTAATTGGAGGAGTGCTGTGATGAAGCAGTTCTGTTGATACCCGGGAAGTTTCTCGGGAGATGATCCAGGGGATCCACGATCGATTGGGAAACTGCAGGTGGCTTTGCTTCGACTACGATTCGAGAGCCTCGCGTGCTCGAACAGGTATGCGAATTTCGAGGTTCTTAACTACGGTTAGATGTACTATGGTACGGTAGTGGGAAGCGTGAAAGAGTGATTTAATTCGATGGGTTCTATAAATAGGCAAATTCTGTCATTTGTGATTATTAGACTTTTTGAACTTCGAAACTTTTAAATTTTTGCAATTAAAAATTTTGGAACGTTCAAATTAACTAGTTTTGAAAATTAAATTTTGGATTTTGAAAAGGAAGAAATTGGCAAATTTTACAAATTCCGTATTTTCCAATATTTTAATTTCCAAATTCGTTATTTGTTAACTCACAGAATACTGATTTTCCAAATTTTCAGAATTACAATTTTTTAATTTCCAGAGTTATAATTTTTCAAATTTTCTAAATTATCATATTTCAAATTTTCTACATTACATTTAAACTTCTAAACCCTCAAATTTCTAAATTACAGATTTTCTGAATTTTAACATTCTTAATCGTCAAATTCTTAGTTGCCAAATTCTTAATCGTCAATATGTACATTTTTTAATAGTCACATTTCCTGCTTTCCAAATTACTAAAATTACTACTTTTCTAATTTTAAAAATTCTTCAACCGCAATATTCGTCATTTATTTAATTTCAAATTTCGATTTTAAAAATAACTGGATATATTATTTCAAAATACCTAAATTTCCTATTATCCTAATTTTTAAATTGTTAACTTTATAATAATTTTCCAAATGTTCATATTCTTAAATCTTTTCATTTTGTATTTCATAAAATCAAATTTGAAAATTCTCACATATTCAAATTCCCAAAACTTCAATTTTTTATTGTTTAAATTTTTTTTTCCTAAATTTTAAGTTTTGTATAGTGCAAATTTTCACACTTTGTAATTTTGTATGTTTAAGCTTTAGAATATCAAATTCTAGTATATTCAAATTTCTAAATTTCCAAAAATATAAATTCCCTATTTTTCAAGTTTCAAATATTCAAATTCATTGTCTTTCAAATTTGAAATTTCTTAATTCTCAAATATGTGAGTTTCTAAATTTTGCAAATTGCCTATGTTTTATGCTTTTGAACTTTTAAATTTTCTATCCTTTCCTCACTTTTCAAATTTCTATATTTTCAAATACATAAATTTTCAATTGCTCGAATTCTCTACTTTCTTAATTTCCATTTTACCAAATTTTCTAATTTCTGACATTTTCTTCTTTTCTTTAAAATAAATTGTCAGTAATAAAAATGATCTATTTTCAATAGAATACTGATATCACAAGTTTAAATTGTCATTTTAAATTAATACTTCAAAAACTGTTTTTATTTTTATACTGATACTTCAATTATTAACATTTCAATCTCTATTTTTTATCGAACTATTTTTTATCGAATGCATCGCAAGTTTGATCACTCTATACATTGAAAAACGTGCATCAGCTCTTGAGTAATATGAGTACAATGAAGAAAAAATACTAAAGTTTTATTTATCACCAATTTGACTCCCAATTAGGGTTAAGGTCTTACAAAAATTGCATTTATTCACTAATTAAATTCAACCTCAACACATCACGAAAACTCGTGCTCCGTGTTTTTCCTTAATAATTCAAAAACGAAGCTTCAAACCCCATTTTTGCAAAACAAATTCTTGTTGAGAATTACCTCCTCTGCCACTCTTTTTAGGGAGTTATACTAATTATACGACATCCTGTATAATAACATACGATAATTTGCATTAAATTTAAAAGTAACATAAAGTAATAGTAAGGTAAAGTGAAATGAGTCAAAAATTGTTGAAGGAAGAAAAACAAAAATAAGAAATTGATAATTCTTATAATAATAATGTAGTAGTAACATATGATGTTATGCCATAAATTTAAAAATAATATAAAGTAACAGTAAAGTAAAGTTAAATGCACTAAAAATTGAAGAAGATAGAAAAACAAAAACAAGAAATTGATAATTGTTATAATAATAATGTAATAATAACATATGCTAATATGCAATAAATTTAAAAGTAATATAGAGTAATAGTAAAGTAAAGTGGAATGCGTAAAAAATTGTTGAAGGAAGAAAAACACAAATAAGAAATTGATAACTGTTATCATAATAATATAATAATGACATATGATAACATGCAATAAATTTAAAAATAATATAAAGTAATAGTAAAGTAAAGTTAAATGCATCAAAAATTGAAGAAGAAAGAAAAACAAAAATAAGCAATTGATATCTGTTATTATAATAATATAATAAGAACATATGATGATATGCAATAAACTTAAAAACTAATAGTAAAATAATAGTAAAGTAAAGTGAAATGCATCCAAAATTAAAGCAGAAAGAAAAACAAAAATAAGAAATTGATAATTCTTATCCTAAGGGATGGCATTCCCATAACCTCAATGTCCCGATAGCGAGGTTAGCGTACGCTAGGTAAAGGTGTAGAGGGGATAAAAGCGTGTTAGATGGAACGATGAAAAGGAAATTGGTTCGTATCGACCTCTTCTCTTAGTTAGTTGTCGACGAATGCACATGGTGCACTTCGAGGAAAGGTCGATCTATCGAATCGCTGCTTCGAAGAAAAAGTTTTTAAACGATTCCTTTGTAGTATGCATACCTGTGCGTTGACACGAATGTAGAGAAGTTGGACAAAATAACAGAAACTATTTGTACATTACACTCAAGTAGACTGAAGCAAAATAGTTTCATTAGAATGTTGCAACCAATAGCTTCTCAATCGTTTCTGGGCACTCGATATAAATTCTTTCTGTACAAATTGTTAAAACAAAATCAAATGTGGTCACTAACAATCTAAGAAGGTGCATGTGACCTTAAGCATTCAATTAAAAAAAAAATAATAACTTGTTTTTGTACATCAAATATAAATTGTCTTTTTTTTATTCAAATATTTTAGAAGCTATTAGAGGTAGATTTATACTATATTAGAAGATGATTGTTGCTGAAAGTGTAACGAAGAGGAAGGCTCCATGGTCACCTCCCTAGGGTAAAGCGTTTTGGAGATATTAATTTCTGAATAAATTCTAACAATCTGGAGGTCGGATTAAAATCGAACGTTTACAGCCCTGAGACTTTACTTCTAATTGTTGTAAGTTAACGAAGGACACATTTGATTTAACCGCGTTTGATGTGTAAAATGTGTATAAATGTGGCAGTGATAGGGGTAGAGATTTGATACTTGTAGATTTCTAGAGATTTGTAGGGATTTGAGTATTTGGGAATTGGTTAAGAATTTGGAAAATTTGGAGTATGAGGATTTTAAGATGTGGGAAACTTAGGATTTGATAAATGTGGGGTTTAATGTAGCGATTTGGTAGTTTAGGAAAATTTAGGGATTTGGTTGTGTAGGAATTTGAAAATTTAAGGATTAGGTTGCGTAGAAATTTGAAAATTTAGGGATTTATGGAGCTAGGAATTTAGTAATGTCATGATTCAGGAATTTAGGGATTAAGTAAACTACGGATATGTAAATCTATGGATTTGGGTAGGTATTTGTGTGCTTGGGAATTTTATACAGGTTTTTGGAGATTTCGAAATTTTTTAACACAGGTGTTGGTGGATTTAGAAATTTGGTGACAGGTATTTGAGAATTTCAGATTTTTGTGACATAGGTATTCGGAAATTTGAAAATTTGGTGAAATAAGTCTTTGAGAATCTAAGAATTTAAATTATTTTGTTTTATTTTGAATCTAAGAAGTGGTTAAGTTATTTTGTGTAACCATTATGCGTGTGTTACATAGCATCGATTATGTTCTTCGAGACTATAGCACTTGCAGTTTTTAACATCGAACGTAGTACAGTGTCGAGGTCATTTCATAGAGTGTCGTAGACTCTTTATGAGATGCATTGTTTAAATCGATTATTTACTGACGGGTTTATCGGGAAGTTGGGTAGATGACAGGGACAAGAGGATTTCATTTAAAATGAAAATACATGATACAGTAAAATATCGATTATTCAAATTAATGGACGGACAGACCTGTTTCTTTAAATGGTTTGTGAGATTGTTTCGTTTTGACGATATAAAAATATTGCAGAGTAATATTAATAATAATATTTGCATTACTACTGTTATTATTAATGAATACTATAAATATTAAAATTTAATGAATAACTAATAATATGAATATTATAACTGTTATAAATACTATGAATATTTGAATATTACAATTGATGGATTGTTCGTATTGTGTTATTTTTCTACGAATTATTACGATAAAAATACAGTTTGGGGATAGAAAATTTAAAAAAGGAGTTAAGAGTAATAAGATTTATAATTTGCTACAAATTTTCTACTTGTTGGTTCTTTCTTTCTTTATAAAATTGTTTAATTCCGCTACGCTGAGAAGAACTCATGTTTAAATTTTTTAAATATTCCCGCGAAAAATGGGGGCGCTTAGAGAGATTGGTTAGAAATGTTCTATTAGCAAATATATACGTCTATAACACTATTTGATACATCTTGAATAATTTTAAATATTCAATTATAGTTTTATTTTTCAAAATATTTAATTTTATTAAGCAATGACATCTTTTATCTGCAATGGAGTCAAATAGAAATTATAGATTACTATTAACTCTGTTGTGAACTGAACTTATTAGTTAATAAAGTTAAATATTAATGAAAAGAAAGTTCAGTGCAACTTTCCCTTTCAATATGATACATTACTACAATGTATTACACAAATTTATCTAATTTTTTTACTGTACTGAAATATTAAAATTAAGAATTTTCAAGTTAAAATTAAAAATATGGTAAGCATGATTAGAATACTTCTAAACTTCTAATAATTAGAATACTGTACTTTATTAATAATTACTATAAACTATTTGAAAAATATGTAGCTAATTAACAAGCAATATAGTTTTACAAATTCTAAAAAACTTAAATAAATACATGACAAACAGTTTAAAATAAATTTCACAATTTAGCACAAGCTTCCACAAACATCTGACTTATAATTTTACAGAGTTTATGATTTAAACAAATCATACATTTTAATTGTACAAA